CTCTAGACAGACTTCTGTGGATATGCCAGGCTGGCAGCAAGGTTTGTCCTTTTCCTACCCCTCTTCCCTCTCCTAGAAAAATTATTTGTGATTGGTATTATGTGGTTCCCGGACTCAGCTTTCAAAATCCCCAGTAGGCCAGCTTCAACATTCCATGGCCAAACTTGCCTGACCTAGACTTGGGTCCCACTCCCTCAGTTTCTCCTGTGGGTATTTCCTAATTTATCTACTGTTAATGCCAGCCAGAAGGCCAGCTAAGAATGTAGGAGTTGAAACTGGTTGCCACAGAGCCAGAGGGACACAGAAGACAAGCACTTGCTTTACTGTGGCTGCTACTTTCAGTAGTCCTTAGGTAGCCCTGCTGTGGCAGTGTGTCCCTTTATCCATTCCAGCCTGAGGGACAATTTTCTTCCCCAAGAGAACAGATTTAAACAGTTTTACAGGTAACAGCAGTCCACAGGAATCTGGTTTGGGCTTGACCCTAGCATCCTCTGTCCTTGACCCCAGCTCAGCCATCCTCCTCATGCATGAAAGTCCGACTAAATGAAGAATAGGACTGGCCCAGAGACCTCAGGTCAGCCAGATCGACTGGATCTGTCTTGTGAACCAAGCTCCTTACAAGGTGATACAAGGCTAGGCCTCCTGCACCTTGGAGTTGTCTTTTATCTTTGAAGGCCCAGGGCCTGTCCCCTACCTGTCTTCAAGGCATCTGCACCCCTCTTTCAGATCACATGACAGAGACGCTTGTTCTCATGGCATGTACCATCCCTGTGAAGAGAGCGTTGTGTATGATTTTGTATTTTTTAATTCATTTTAACCTACAGGTTGGAATCTAATTTTTAAATTTTATTGGAACTCACATTTTAAAACAAATAAAAAACATTTAAAAATAATAATAATTATAATAATAAACCTTTGACCGGTGTCTTCCAAGTAGTTTGATCAAATAATTTATAGGTGTTTTCAAAATACAGCCTGGAGTGTAAAGATTGGAAAGCCCTGTGGCCACGCTTGTGTGTATGAAGTGTAAATCTGGCTTTGTTGTTTTGGATTCCTTTGGGTTTTGTTTTGTTTTGAAGATCAGATAGTGATCACTCTGAATGGTTGAAGCCAAGAGTTTGTAACTATGATATTTACTGTAAGCTGTAGAACATTCAACAACTATTAAAAGAAAGTTTCCAAAAAAAAAAAAAAAACCAACAAAAACCAAACCGTGGTTCTTGTGTGAGGGAGACACAGACCTCCTCCAGCCAGTGAGTCCCTGCGCTTCTCCTTCCTCAGGGGATTCTAAGCTTCTTTTTTTTTTACCTGTTCTGAGTACACACCTGGAACCCCAGTACTTTCGAGGCACAGGTAGGATTGCAACTCAAAAGCTTGTGTCTCAAAGGCTGAGGATATACCAAGTGGTTAGAGCACAGGCTGTTCTCATATAGGGCCAGAGTTTGAGTCCCAGGACCCATAGTGGTTCACAACAGTCTATAACTCAGGGGGATTCCATGCTGTCTCCTGGTCTTTGGGAGCACCATTCATACACATAAAATTCATACACATATACACATTTATATAGGAGCGCATGTGTCTCAAAAAAGAAAACAAGCAATGCTCTGTTCTATATTTTCTCTGGACTAGGATGGGGCACAGTGGATGGGAGCTATGGAGTGGGAGGTGGACCATATAACATGGTGGAAATCCAGGGACGCTGTTAAAGGGCTGACCTCTACTGAGGCTGAGATATAGCTCAGTGGTGTGTGGCAGGGACCCCCAGCACCAAGAGAAAGAGGGAGAAGCGGCTTGTGGCTGGTGCTTGCTGCAAGGGAAGCTCTGCTGTTTGTCCCATGTGGGAGGGCAGTTGAGGAGGGTAGGGCCTTGGCGAAGGTGAAGTTGGAATTCATCCTTGCTCTGGTTCCAGAATGCAGCCCATCTCAAAGGAGGTGGTTTCTTAAAAGACAGGCTCTCCTCCTCTCCCCAAAGCAGTGACGGAGTGTCAGGTAGGAAGCCAAGGGAAGCTTGGTGGCTCATTACAGCACTTATGACAAATCCACAGGGCCTCATACAAGCCTGTCATTACGGACTTCCCCCCCCCCCTTTCTCTCCTGTACATTGTTTCCTGTCCCTTCAGGGTGATGCCACTGCCACTGCTGCTCAGGCTTTGTCTCAGTTATTTTTCTATTGTGAAGACATCATAATAACCAAGGCAACTTATAGAAGAGTTTATTGGGGCTTAAAGTTTCAGAGGGTGAATCCATACCAGAGACAGAGAATAGCCACATGGGAACTACCTGGAAATGGCATATTGTTTTTTGGTTCTGTTTTGTTGGTGGTTTTTGTTTTGTTTTTTTGCTTTTCAAGACAAGGTTTCTCTGTATAGCCCTGGCTGCCCTGGAACTTGCTTTGTGGACCACGCTGGCCTAAAACTCAGAGATCCACCTGCCTCTGCCTCTGCCTCCTGAATACTAACATTAAAGGTGTGCACCACCATGCCCTGTGAGGCATAGGCTTTTGAAACCTCAAAGCCTGCCCCCTAAACAAGACCATACCTCCTGATCCTTCTCAAACAGTTGCACCAACTGGGGACTAAGCATTCAAATAAATGAGCCTTATGGGGATAATTCTCATTCAAACTACTACACACTTCTTGGACATCTAACCACTTTTCTTTCCCAGGGCCTGGCCCTCACAGTTCATGTTCCACAGCTAATAGGACAAAGGTTCAGCATGCTCAACTGTAATAAAAGTGGCCAACAGTGATCACTCCAGAAGTTGAAGCTAGGTGTGTACCGCTGTGTTTAGTCAACTCAGTTGTTTTAGGTTCAATGTTTTAAGACTTCCCAAGGATGGGGATACAACAGAGAGACACCAGGCTTGCATAGCTTGGGTAAGGCCCTGAGTTCCATCCCGAATGCTGCAAGATCAGTAAAACCCTCCATGGGGCAGGGATAACCAGGGCCACCTGTGGACCACTGCTACTTTGGCCCATGCTACAGTGGAAATTGGTACACCAAGCCTCACTTGCCCTCCTGACATCCTCCCAGCCTTTCGTTCTGACCATGATCCATTGTGGACCTGAGTAAGGGAGGAGAGGATACCTGATCTGAGACAGGATAAACTGTCTTAGGCTCATTTCCATGTCACAACTGCAGAGCTATTTTCTAGAAGCGGGCAGAGAGCTAGAGATCGGTCCCTACTTTGTTCTTCCCTCCAACTCCCACCGCCACCCACTGAGAAGAGCTGCAGGGATTTGTAGGAAAGTTCCCAAGGGGAGGTAGAGCTGTGGAGACCAAAAATGTCACACATCTGTATCATATCTCTGTCTTGATGTTGAGAGGCTGATGGTACAAGAAGCAAATGAAGCAAGCCATTCTTGGAGCAGGCTAGAGAAGTGCTTATAGTGATAGAGGTATCCTAGCAGGCCTAGAAGCCTGAACATGGTGTCTCCACCCTGACTGGTATCTGAACGTGTCTCTAATCTAGCCTTCCCAGAGAATGGCTGGGGTCCCACCTCCTGCCTCACTCTCCTGGACACACTCTTATCTTCACATGCCACCCAAGTGGCTGTTATCCAAATCCTAAGTAGAAGTGGGGTCCATGAGTTGGCTGGCTAAAGGGATAGGCAAATTAGAGTAGCCAAACCCTGAGGTACATAAAGTAAGTGGATGTCAAGTGTGCCACACTCTGCAGCCTAGGGTCATTTCCTTGGACACACAGGAGACCCTGTCTACTCCGTTCACACAAGTCCCAGAGTATCCTGTACCCAAAGGGTGTGGGGAGAAGCAGGGATAGGATAGGCCCATCTGTCAACAGTGGCTTTTTTTTTTCTTCCTTTCTTTCCTGCCACTGCTAGGCTAGTCACCTACCTTGGTTTCTGCCTGAAAACTTCTGTCCTCAGTGAAGCCACCTCTACCCCTCTTCCAGGCTAGGGTTTTACACCTCCAGTAGTGTTTGCATATGTCACTCCCTCCCATATTAAACAGTATACCACACACTGACAAAACCCTAACTTAAGGTCCCACCGGCCACGGTGACTTTGGTATGAGATGGTGTCTCCTGATTTACCTGATATTGGTTCAGCTCTCACCACATCCCTTAGGAAACTCACCAAGACCCTGTCCATCCCCTAGGGCAAGACAGCTTTCCTGGCCTCTCAGCCAACTTTCCCCAAATTCTACATCCATTCTTAGCCACCAGGACCCTGATGGCTTTCTTACTGCCAGGCCCTGGGATCTGCCCTAAAGCCTTTTTCTAAAACATGAACCCTCTCTGCCCAGTCTCAATGCCCATCTGAGTGTAAGATTTTCCCTACCTCACATCCCATAAGGAGTTCCAGCAGGTCTGTCCTAGGAATCTCTTAGGTCCTTCTGTTTCTCTGTCACTTGTTACCCAGACAGCTATGACAACTTCCTGTACTGGGTATTCTGTGCTTTACACTGTGGCCAAACAGGCCAAGGCTCTGCCTCTTCCTAACCGCTGTGGGGACCCTCCAGCCACTCACTGGTCTGGCCTTTGCATATGCTGCTCCCACTTCATGGATCTCATTCCCTCCCACACTGTGAGCTTCCGTGTACCTGCTGCTTCCTCTAGAGCTGTGGCCACCACATGGTTCTTGTGCCCTTGAAATACACTAGTTCATGTCAAGATGTATAAAGTACATAAGATTCTAAACAGAAAAAAAGCTCGTTCATAATTTTCATAATGATTTTATATTGCAATGAAAATATTGATATACTGGGTTATAAATATTAAGTTTACCCTTTTTTAGAAAACTTTTTGGAATGATTATGGGAACACTTTCAATCACACATATGGCTCAGCCTGTATTTCTATTGGGAAACCTGGCCTCTGGGGACCTCGGTAAGAATGAGACAGAAGCCACCTGTGCCTGTTTCCTGGTTTCAGAGGAAGGTGCTGATGAGGGGGAGGACGATGTGTCCCACACCTGGCAGGGCCCTGGAAGCACGAGGAGAGCAGTTTTGAGAGAGGATACAGGGAAAGGAAGCACCTTGTGACGACATTTTCCACCTTTTATTACTCAAGTGTGTGGGGCTGGAGATGTAGGGCCAGGGCAACAGCAGGTTTCAATAAATAAGAAATGGGATGGGCAGTGGGCCCCGCGCCTGCACGGCCCCACATAAATAACGAGGCACTGAGCCAGAGCAGAGACTAAGATAGGCTGGATTGGCAGTCACCCCTGCTACCCAAAACTCAGGCAGACACTGTACCACAGGGGCGTGGAAAACCACAGGCCACAGGAACTCTCTAGCCTGCTGGTCTCTCTTCCCACAGCTTCAGAGCTTGAGGGCAGCAGGGTGGACTGAGGCTCTGCACCAGAGAGCTCTGTCCAAGTCAAGTCATTTTTCAGTTTCATTAAAAATAGCAGGGTAGGGGCAGGCACATGCATTAAGCCCCTTCTGTAGGCATCACCATAATAGTCCCATGGGAGCCATGAAGGCCAAGGCCCAGGAAGCAGCAAAAATAGGCCAGATAAAGCTACTAATGGGAGGGTAGCAAAGTCAAGCTCCCCCCAACAGGACTTAGCCCGGAATCTGCAAAGAGCTGGAGAGGTCCTGGGAACTGAGCTCTCCTCTCCCAATGTCACTGTCGTAAGTACCTAGGGATAAGCCCAGGATTGGAACCCAGGTACTCTGCCACCAGCACAGAGCTCTTTGCTACCCCTTCCCTGCCAGAAGAGAGGGAGTCACATCCAGGGTCCAGGACATGGGCAAGAGTGGCTGGTTCCCAAGGCACAAGTAGGGACCAGGTACAGATACCACTCCTCCACCAAACCAGACCCCCCTAAGGGACAGAGGGCTCCTATGATGTGTTCAGGGCAGGCACAGGGCTACAGCACCCTGCATGGAAGTAACCGGGGCTGCAGGGATAGGGTGGGCTCTTGATCTCCTGCTCACGTGCTGTGCCGCAGGCTGCCTCCTCAGTGGGGCGGACGGTCCCACCTCCAGGACTTGGCCTTTGCTGTTTTGTCTGCTAGGCCTTTGCATCTTGGTCCTCAGTCCCAGCTGCAGCTCTCCCTCCTGCAGGAAGCCTTCAGAACCTCCCAGGACAGGGCAGAGTGTCTAATTCTAGACAGCCCATCAGATGACCAGGTTGCTTTCACTTAGCCGGACCACATAGCGGTTCTCCTGGGGTTCAGGATTGAAGGGTCAGAGCTGAGTCAAGAGACCGCCTTGGGCTTCAGAAAAGTGGCATCTACCCAGAGCTCCCCATACTGCCTCCACGGGCCTCTCTTCTGTCAGGGTTGACCCAGGTGCTAACACAAAAATCCCCCCACCCACCCCTAGCACTCACCTCAGCCTTGTTCTCTGCTGGGGGCTTCAACCACTTACTATGGCTTCCACCACTTCCCAGCAGTGCCCGCTGCTCAGGGGGAAGGCCAGGCTGTGGGGAATCAGGGAGATCACCCTCTGAAGGCCCAGCCTCCGTGATGGTCTTCACCTCAGATATCAATGAACTGGTCCGCTGCTCAGGAATACGAGCCACACGGAACCTGAAGGGATAGGTGGGACCAACACCCCTCATTAGAGGGGAGGCCAGAGAAGGCAGCACCTACTAAGTCACCCTGAAATTTCCAAGATCACACACAGGTCGAGCCTGTTAGACTACTCAAGAGTCCTTCTCAGTCCCCCAGCTATTTGTGCCCAGCTCTCAGCAACCCCACATCTAGTTAGAGGGGTACAGACAGACCCTTGGCCTAAGAAGTCCCAGGTGTGATAACACCAAAACCATGTTTCAGGGAACCAAAAACTCCATGTGAGATAGCACAGCTGGAAAATGATGACTTTTTGGCTACCTACACTATCCAGCAATGCCCAGGAAAGACTAGTTAGCACTAAGCTGACCCACAGACTTGCCTGTCTCCAGGCCATCAAGTTATTCCACAACTCTGCTCCATCTGCCCACCTTACCTGCCCACAGACAAGATGGTAATCTCTCCCTGACGTCCTGGCTTCGCACTAGCCTTGGGAGCCCTGGATGCAACAGGCAGCAGGGTGGGAGCAGGCGTGCTGGCAGCTGCCGCCTCAGGAGACAGCAGCACCTCTGGCCACTTCTGGCTACAACGGGAGCAGCAGGGGCCAGAGAGTGAGGCCAGGCCCTGCACAGTGTGGAGGTGGTGGTGATGTGGACAGATGTGTGGCACGCTGGGGGAGGACGGCAGCAGCCTGCAGGAGGAAGAGCAGAAATGGTCACTGGAACAAGCCAGAAAAGATGCCCCATCAAGAAAAAGGACAAAGGTGACATGAAAGGGAACAGACCCAAGAGGAGATCCCCATGAGGCAAGCTGATTATCTGAGAGCCCCACCCCTCACCTGGGTACAGGCCTGTGGCTTGTCTGTACCAGCTGTTTGCTGTGATATTCTTTCAACAGCTCCTCCAGGGCCGCTGCATTCTCTGTGGGCAGGTGGAGTCAGAACCTAGCTCCAAACTGAAGGAGCACCCCACCCCACCTCAGTAGATAGACGCTGCCTACTCCCACATCTCTGTCCCAGGGCCCAAACTATGTGCCCTTCCTCCATCCCTTAAGTCAAGATCAAAGGCAAAAATGTAGCACCCAGGGTCAGAGTCCCATCAAACTGGGGCTTTGGAGGCAGAGCTGGGCAGGACTTTCCCCAAGCATTATCTAAGAGGAGACCCTCCACTCCCAGGCATAGGGCGAAACAGAAAGACCCTCTCTTCACCTTTCTTCTCTGTGATCAGGCGCACCAGGACTCCAATGGTGTCCTCATTGGCATCCTCTGTCCTATAGGCGGGATTGATCCCTGGAGAAAAGAAAAGAAATCCATGATTCTAGGCAAGATGGGGCTCAAGGCTCCCAAGCTACACCAGGATCTGCTGGCAGAGGGCGCCACAGACCTTGCATCAAATTGCAGCAGTATCTACTGTGGCGTTCAGGTGACAAGACAGCTATGTCCATCACCAGTGGGTTACCTAGACCTGAAGAAGTATGCTGTCATCTTTGTTATCCTGAACCCAGAATCTCCAAGTGCTTAGTGGTCTCAGGACCATCTGCAACCCACATCCCTGGATATTTCGCCAGCCTCTTCCGTGTACTCACTGGGCCTTTCTTGGCCTCAGGGAGCTATGGGCTCTCCACACTCAGAACTTCTGACACCTCCAGGCCTATTACCTCTCTGCACACCACCCTGTCCATGAAACCATGTAACAGCTTTGGGCTTAAACCTCAAGGGTGTTACTAAGCCAGTCAGCATATTTCCAAAATTTGTACCTAGGCAGCAGCTAGCAGTTAACGTCACTAGACTAGCAAATGTACAGTCCTAGGTAAAATCACTCCATGATTCAGTGTTTGGAGCTGGAGGGGGCCCTGGAAAGCGAGCATGGGAGATGTTATATTAATTACTCTTGACTTGGCCAGAAGGTTCCTGACGGCCCAGAGCCGTGCATATATGCCCATGAGATCTCTACTCCGAGGCATTGGTAAGCAAGAGAAGAAATGGGCTCAAGGCCCTTTTCCTCTGGTTCCAGTACTTGTATCTCAAACTACAGTGGAGCTGAACCCTGTGTAGTGTCTGCCAGAGCAGTGGCTCTGCCAGTCCCACCTGATGTCGGACATTCTTGTGCTTCAGACCAGAGGCCACAGGTCATTTTGAACCAAACAACTATAGTTGTGGCCCCAATAGAGTCCCAATCCTACGGTGGAGCAGGGCCTCACCCAGAGCAGGAATCTTAGCAATACCACGTGACCCACTCGCCGTTTTACCTCTGCCTATTGCCATAGCTCAGTCCCTTATCATCCCCCATGTCAGCCTGCACTGCTGCCATCAAGGCTGCTGCACAGCACCTCCAGGAGGCCTTCCTGACTAGCTCTCTCCTGTCAGAGACCCCTAGACCAGGAAGGTTCCCTCCAAAGCCCCTCGTGTCCCCACATGGACCCAGCCAGGTCTTACCACTGCCACCTCCACCAGAGCCGGGCCCGACTTCCTTTTGGGCTGTGCAATGGTAGCCCTTCCGCTTGAGCAGGTTACACACCAGGATGCCCAGAAGCCCCATGAGACAAAAGACAGGAACAATGGCAATCACTGCATACTGGGCAGCCGTCTCCTCAGGACCGCCTGCCCGAGTGCCATTCCCAGGCTGCCGAGGTTCACCATTGCTACTGGCACCTGCTGCCACTTCAACGCCACGCCGGGCCCGCCGCCCTGATTCTGAAAAGCACAGAGGATGAAAGCAAGGAAACAAGGAAAAACAAAAAGAAGTTGCTAGGCTGGTAGCGCCCTTTCTCAGCCCCAGAAAGGCTGTCTGCCCACTTCACCACAGACAAGGCAGTGATCTCGCTTCGATGATCCGCCTTGGCCTTGCCTTGGGAGCCCTGGATAGGTCTGGATAGGAGGCTGGGTACAAGGATGGTTCCTAGCAAGTCCAAGAATCTGAGCATGAAGCTGGGGGACCTTGGCACACTAAGAAGACAAAGGCCAGCTCATGCCCTTCTTCCTTAACCATCCTATCAATTATCAAGTGAGGCTTCCTTTGGCCTCAGTCTACATCTGCCCCTCATACACGTGTATGGAGTGGACAGATACTCGTACATGGTACACTCCTAGCCAAAGGAATACAGGGTTTTGCCTTCTCAGAACAGCACATGAGTTAGTAGCCTCAGCGGGTGACTGGCTCAGTGGTAAAGGTCACATGTATGTGTTCACGGATATGTAAAGGCACATGTGCACACTCATATGCATCTTTAGGGTTCTTCTGGGAAGGATAGGGACAATAGGACCAAGCAGGATATTATTAGGATACCTAATCCTAATAATGGTAGCTGCCTGATGCTGGATTGTCTCTACTACCCCAAAGTCAGTAAGGTGGCTGGCCATATATTGGGGATGACTCTGGCTGCCTGTTCTCCTATAGGCTGGAAGAGGACCCCACTTCCCTATGTGGATGCTGCAGGGACTCCTAGGTTCAGGTTCAGTGACCCCTTTCCTAGCCCACCACCTACCACTTACCATCACAGTCACCAGTACTTGGAGGTGCCTTGGAACATGGCTGACACGGAACATGAGGCACTCCCTGTGGCCCAAACCACCTGCAGGGATGGAAGATGTCACTGAAGTCCAGAAGTAAAAACATGTCCTTAGGAAAAATTGGATTCCTTCCTGCCAAGTGCCCTCAATGTCCCCACGCCCCAGTCCACGTCACAGATGGGAAGAGAGGCCCACTCAGGGAGCAGTGGGGCGAGAGCCCAGCAGCAGGTTCACCCTGTGCTCACCCATGCTGGCAGTCTCCACACTTTGTATCCTGGGTTGCTGTGCCAGCCCGGGCCTCCAGCCTCTTTTGAAGGCTGCAGTGGTGATGAGGCTGGCATGGATAGGAGTCCCACGAGGCCGAAAAGGTGCCTAGGGGGCAGGTTCTGCATGATGTGCCCTGCCCTGGATCCTGTGGGAGAGGAGGAAGAATACAAGGCCTGAAGTCAGGCCATAAGCCCCTGGGCATCCAGGTCGAGGCCTCCCCTCTGCCCCCCAGGAATCATCCTGGGACAGGACATCGCTCACCAGGTCAGGCTCCTTGCCAGGTGGACACAGCCAAGGAGTTATTGGTGTTGGAGTGGCCAGGGGCCAGGGCAGCAGCTGGAACACAGAGGACATGGTGACAGAGGAAGACAGTGTTAAAACACGAGGCCTGCAGGGTCATCTGCTCACTCCCTTCTTCCTGAACAGAGCATGAGTCACAGACTTACACAGGCTCCCTCAGGCTTCAGGGGTGTTCTCAGGGCCTGCCTCAGCCAGTTCTGTAGCACTGCCAGTGTTTAGGTAAAAAGAGAATTATATCTGCTTCTGGAAAATACTGGAAAGCCCCAGACAGGATCAGGACCTCAAGCCCTTGAGCCTCTGAATTACAGCCCTTTCAGATGAGTTACACCTCCTCACCCCAGACAGATGAGGAGGAAATGCTTCCGAATTCCTCTGAGATTGTCTCCCTTCCTGCTGCACGACTCCCCTCACCCCTAAGCTGGGCATGTCATTAACTACCCTCTGTTTATCATGCCTAGAGCCAAGTCTGCAGCTGGTGCTTACTTACTATTCTGGGCCCAGAGCTGAGTCTGAGACCACATCCTTCTCTGTGACCTCCCCCCTGCACCAAGGCCACCCCATTCATACCTTGCACCTAAATAGGGCAAGCCACGTCCAAAGGAATGATCTTCTACAGAGGAGTACTAGCCCCTCTCTGATGACCTCCCTTGGCTTCCCACTCAATCAAATGGACTTCCTGCCCTGACTCCTGCAGTGGGAAGAGCCTGTCCTCCAACTTGGCCCCAGCTACTAGGGCTAGAAGGCTCCAGGGCCACTTACTCTGAAGATAGAATGTCAGCCTGGCTCCCAGCACCTGCTAAGGCTGCAGGCTACCTCCTGGAAACCTCTGGTTGTTCTCCCTAAGCTTCCAGAGTTACAGCAGAAAGACCACCACAGATCAGACCTCAAGGTGCTGTCTGAGGCTGCAAGTCTGTAGGTGCTCTGACTCCAGCCACAGAATCGGGGCTTCCTTCAATTAATATAGATCCTACAGCCAGCACATGAGTTATTCAGTTTCTTCCAGGTCCCCTACCTGTCCTCCTATCCCTGTCCCATATCTGCAAGAGGCAAGCACCTCACCCTCAACCATGCCTGAAAATGCTAGGAAATCCCTCTGGCCCATGTACAGATTGCCTGGGAAAGCTATATTCTCTAGTTTGGATGTCATGAGTCGAAGAGATTTGTCTGTCTCTACAGCATCACTACTGAATGCCAGGTAGTACTAGTAGACACTTCATTGGGTCTGAAGGCCTTGGAGCCTTCCCAGAAGGAGGCAAGCATTTAAGTTCCCCTGAGGCTCTGGAGTGGGACCTGCATCCTCCCCTCTTGGAGTGCTAACTGCATGCGCAGATTCCAACTATTCTAGCTTCTCTGGGCCCTACCCCAACTCACCACAAAGAGGCAAGACAGGGGCCAGCACAGCAAGGTCCGCTTCATCATCAGGCCCTGGAGTGATATTGACCTAGGGTAGATAAAGGAAGCTCAGGAGAGCAGCCAGACCAGGCAGGCAGCGGCTGTCTCCCTCCTAGCTACATTCACGATGACAGGACTGCTGCTGGGTGCTAGGCAAGCATTTGCCCCACATGGTGGGATGCAGGTCTGAGAAGAGGTTGAACTGACGTGTTTAGAGCCAGCCTTACAGGCCAAGGCTAGAGGGAAGCTGATGGCTCTCTAGTTCAGGTTTCCCAGAGGAGGAAGTGCTTCCTTCCCCTTCCATATACAGCCAGGTGCCCTGACTATCAGAGAGAGCCAAGAGGAAAGAAGCTGGGGAAGGTCTGCACCGGGAATTAAGATGGCTACTGCCTCTAGCCCCAACCTCTCACAGCTCCCAGACCACGCACACAGCCTTCTTACAGGTTCTGCTACAGAAAGGCCCCCATCCTCCACTCCCAGCTCAAAGGCCTTTATGTGGAAGTATTTCTAGAAGTCTGGCTTACAGGCTGTAACCCCTACTCCCTCTGTCACCTGATCGTCCTCTATACCTCTCCCAGGGAAGCCTGGGCATATATGCTTGCATCTCTACCTGCCCATGTGTCATGGCAGACCTGGGAGTGTCGCGATAGCTGGTATTCGGCCTGCTGGGGCCTCTCCAGCAACTCCCATATGCCAGATATGCCTCTGCACTAGGAAATTTGAAACACCAAGGTCCACAGGGGTCACTATGGCAAACATAAAGACACAATGTTCCTACTCTGAGATGTTTCAGAGAACCATCTCAGCTCCCTATCCCGCTGGCCCCAGGCTGAGGGAGACTCCCTCTGATGCCCAGACAGCACTACCTCTAGAGAAGTCTCTAGCTAGTGGTCAAGGCTGGAATGGCAGAAAGGATTCAGATTAGACAACAGAAAGTTCATGTGTATTTCCCAGAGACCTGGCTTCAGGGTAATGGGCTAGGATAGGGTGTTCATCAGGCCTCAACACAAGCTAGGAGCAATCTCTGAAACCCAAGAGTGCTCACGGGCCTACCCTTCTCCACACCATTAGAGGAGGGGTTACAGGATGGTTGATGCCAAGCCTGACTGACAAAGGACTTATTACTTGTAGGAAGTTCCAGGTCACAGAGCCCCCTCTCTGCTGGGAGCCAGGCTTCCCAGCTGGAAATAAGAGTGGAGCAGAGGAAACCAATCTGCCACCTGACCTGGGCCTGGCCCCACAAAGACCTTAACAGGGCCGGGGGTTTGGGTTACACCCAGGGGACGGGGAGGAGCTGCCGTCACATCATCCAGGGACTCTCCAGGTCACTGGCAGCAGGCCCCTCTTGGGCCTCAGGCCAACTAAGGGGAAAACCAGAGACAGGGAAGGCCAGGCTTCAGATTAGGTAAAGGCCACATGTGGCAGTCACCACTCCACAGGTGTGTTCCTGACTCATCCCTTGACCTGTCTTTCTTCAAATTCGGTCACAAAACTGCCTTCCAGGATCTGCACCAGTGTCCTTTAACTCTCCCTGGCTCTGTGTCCCCTCAAGACCATCTCCTATGGCCCCTCCAGTCTGTCAAAAAATCTCACCACCACAGACCTGATCACAAACCCCCAAGTCTTCAGGTTGTCCCCACACCATACTCCTAGCCCCAGCAGCCCTTCATACCCCAGGCAGTTTAGAGGGCTAGGACAAGGGGTGAAAAGTAAGAGGTAAAACCCCAGAGGCAAGAGGCCCAAGACCACCCGGACCCTAACTGCACCTGCTGAGTGACCTGAGACACAGGACAGGCTAAGTGGCTGTTCATCTGGAGACAGGCCAGAAACCAAGTGATCTGGAGACTTCCTGGAGGAAAGTGAGGGTCCAGAGGCCCAGTCTCGAAGCCAGAGTGGGCCCACTCAGGCATATCCACCGGCAGCCGCCGCCCAGCACCCCCTGCCTTCTAATTATGCACCTTCTAATTACCACAAACTGGCACTTACTGCAGTCTGGCTGCATGCCCCCTCTCTAGCCAGACTGAACCCCTATCCCCACCCCCCTTCTGCCTGCTCAGGCACATGCACACGTGTGCACACCTGCTGCTTCAGCCTCGGCCTCCTAGTGCTCTAGGATCCAAAACACTGTCCTGGAAAACCATGGGTTAGGAGGGGTCAGTAGTGCCCTTCCCCATACTTCTCCTGTCTAGAAGGCCAAACACTCAGTGATACCCCAAAGCCTAACACCTCCTGGAGGACAAATGCCAGAAATGGTAATGCCCACAAAGCCCTTCCAGCTCCAGTGTACCTGAGGGAGGAGAGGCATCCCAGTCACATAGAGTTGAAGAGGCAGGGTTCTTGCAGGGAAGGAAATTAGCCCAAAGGCCACTCCTCCAAGTCTCCTAGCCCTGAGCATCCTCAAAGCCACTAATTCCCTGTGACAATTGAGCCCCCAGCTTCCCTAGCCTCAGTTTCCTCATCCACAGGATGGGTTGTTTATCTCCTGTGCAGAAGCCTGCTCATGAAGCTTAACCCAGGTAATGGGCTTCAAGTGGGTCACGGGATTTCCTTCCCACATCCCTACGGGGTGGTAATTAAGTATTTGTTGGCTTGCTTGTTCACAGCGTGTCCCCCAACCAGACAGCAGTCAGGGCAGGGATGTCTGCTTTATCCACCACAAAGCCCAGCACCTAACACAGGCATGGCACTTGATGCCTCTACCACACGGGCTCAGAGGCTGGAGAAAGGAGGGGCTTTTTAAAACCTAGCCCTCTAAAAAAGTGCCCAGACAATTAGAACAGAAATTCCTTGAATACAAGCCAACTAGCAAAGCTGCAACAGGGATCCAAGCTGCCAGTGAAAGCTCCCCAAGGGAGGAGCAGTCCTAGAGGCCTCACAGAAAGAGGAAGCTGTACTGCCCGCCCAGGCCTCAGGCTGCTTCCTCTTTCCTAGAACCGAATCTGTGGGTTTACCCCTGGCCTCAGCCAAGGCCCCCCAAGCACACTCCCAGAGATCTCCCAAGGCCTCTGTCCTCTTCTTCTGACCTCTGGGTAACATTACCTGCAGCCTAGGTGTCCTGACAGATGTGGGTAATGCCCTGAGCCAGCTGCCCACCCCCAGAATGGCTTCCCAATGTACCTCTGAAAACCTTACACAAATACACACACATACACCAGCCACCTTAGGTTTCTTTCTCAGCTCTGTGAAGCTTCTTTCAAGTCACAGAGATGAGTTACCTGCTGCTTCCTCTGCCCTGAAACCCCTGCTACCACTTTTAGCCAACATCTACTCTTCCTCCAGAGTGTAGTTCAAAGTCACTTCCTCCTGGAGGCTCCCCCAACCACTACCTCCCCTCAGCTATGGTGCCATTTGCCCAACCTCTTTCTCACCACAAGCTGTCCTTTATGCACTGGGCGTGTGCTGTACTGGAGATGAGAAGCAGAAGAGACGTCTTCAGTAGACCAGACTAGTTATGCCAGAGAAGGAGGGCCAGAGAGAACACACCCGGGTAAAGGAGTCCAGAGGCAGGGTTGCTCTTAATTTGGTTCTGAAGCCCTCTGCTAGCCTGAGGAAACATCACTGAACACAAGCCTGCCCTCCTCTGTTCTTCACTGTCTGTGAGGCTGTGGAGTCGGTGCAGAGGCCTCAAGTGAGCATGAAAAGAGGGTTAGCATCCAGTTCTCAGCATAGGACCAGCACGAAGTAACCCCTCGGAGGTACACACTACACTTCAGTGACTCAGTTTCCTCATGTGTAAACGTTTAAAAAGGCAGTGCACACGTCTGACCAGCAAGTGTGCAGCACAGGGACGTTCTCTTTTGTATCTAGGATCGGTGGTTAGTAAGGTAAGGCTGGGAAGTGTAGGAGAGGAGTCTGGGGAGACTGGCAAGCGGAGTCCAGTCGTGCTGAGCTTGTACTTTTCCCAGAGCCTATGGGAACCCTCAAGAGTTAAGCAGAGGAAGCAAAACACTGAGTGATCTGCCTCTAGGCAGGCAGATGAGCTAGGCTGCCAGCCAAGTCAGGGCACTGAGGGAGGAGGTGGGTCCAGGGCCCACCTGGGGTAGGGCAGGTAAGAAGGCAGATTCTGCTTTCCAGCCTGTGGCCTTCTCTGCAGCCTCTAGAGGCAAGGGTTGCCTGGAAACACAGCTGGACACAGGCCTTCCTCAGCAGTGGCTGCACCAGGCAGCAACAAAGGCAACATCAATAGAGAAATCCAGGTTAGTAAAGGACCCACTGGTTCCCTGGCAACTGGGGCTGAAGTAGGGCAGTGCCCACACTGGGCACCAGTCAAGGCTGCTAAGCATTGCTGGCTTCCCTAACAGAAGGGGGCCGACCTCAACTGGGGACTCTCCCTCGCCTTGGCTCACCTCAATTCCCATAGAAGTGAATATTCCCTTTCAGACCTGAGTAAACAGGTTGAGGGAAGTCACCTGTGGGGGTCCCACAACCTGTAAGTACTAAGGCAGGGATGGAGGCCAGAACTGGCTCATCTCTGCCTTTCCAACTCTGAAGCCAGCTCTGACTCTGCAGGCAGACTCTTTCAAGAGTGCCTGCCAATCTGGTAGCAGGAAGGCTAGTGGAGGGTTGTGTGGCTCCACTGAAGGTTTACTAGAGAGGCCTAGGCAAAGCCCAGGAGAGCTGTGTTCCCCACCTGGCAGCCTCAGGGCCTCGGAGAATTGCCTGCACCATGCTTATTTGTAGAGTGTGCTAATTTGTACCAGATCATACAGAAAAGCACAGGAAACTATAGGAAGCAAGAAGACAGAAAATCTGGGAATTCCCAGAGACAGGAAGAGCAGCTTCCAGGGCTGCTGTTGAGACTGAAGGCCCAGAGTTAAAACAAAAGCTGTCTAGAGGCTATGCAGAAAGAAGGGCATCCCCACTCCCTGCTTTCTTCCCAGTTCTGGGCAGCCATGACTACGTAGGTCACTCACTAGAGTGTTCTCCAGTGTGGCCCCTCAGAGTCCTACACCACTCACACTTCCAAGCAGCAGGAACTGGGCATGGTTCTGTTCCTCAGACCTCCTGGCTGCCACTGGGCCTACATTTGGGCAGCTCTGGTGGTAAGGGGGCAGGAGGGGCTGAAAGGGCTAATTAGCTCCTTAAGGCTAAGAAAAGGGCTGAGGCAGCCAGATTGGGCCCTCTCAGCTCTTCCAGTCTGAGTATGAAATGAATGCAATCTTCTCCCTCCTGCCTAGGACAAGTCTGGAGATAGAGAAGAGTGCCTGAGACTAGGCAGTCACCCCTGGGACAGGTCTGCAGCTCCCCAAGGACCCTTTCACATATCCCATCTCCTCTCCAGGCTGAGTCCCACTGGATCTCTCAACACAGGCTTCCATGATCCGTACTTGCACAAAGGAGGCAGAGATAGCTGAGTAAGAACTTGGTCTAGGGCCAGTAAGACAACCCAATGGGTTAAGGCACTTGCCACCAACACTGAATGGCCTGGGTTCAATTCCCAGAATCCACATGGTGGAAGGGAAAAACTGATTGCGGCAGGTTGTTCTGACTTCCACACCACCACCCTGTCAGTACAGAATAAACAAACATGTGTAATAATTGCTTAAAACAAAACAGGTCTGAAAGATAACACGCCTTACCAACCCTGGAGAGGAGACAAGCAACAGTCAGCTCTTGCCCATGTCACCCACACCTGATACTTCACTGCTTTCAAGGGCCGGCTTTAACCCCCATCAACCTTTAAGAACCATGACCATACCTGGATTATCTCCTTTGGCCCTAAGAAAGAACAGCAAGTGCCCAGAAGGTGCTGGAAAACACTCAGTTCATCCCTCATTCTTGTTGCTACTCCCCACTCCCAGAAGTCAGCTTGGCTACAGTCCTGACCACACACCTCCACTTTGCAGTGAATTGACAATGAGCCAGGATGGTCTAGAGACTGCTCAGCATAAGCCCTGACCCCATCATCCCAACTTGGTTGACTGGAGCAGAAATTTAGGGTGAGACTGAGGAGAAACCACAGAACTCCTGTTCACTCTCCCAATTCCTTAGGCTTGGGGATTGAGGCTCTACCCAGAGCAATGGTGCCGAGGTCTGGGTGGGCATATGTGTGACTATTGGGCCAGCTAGGGCAGGGCCAGGCTCTGGAACAGCCCACCTAGGCTAAAGCTCTGGCTCTGTCACCAAGTGGATCTGTGACCTTGCACAGAACCTCTCTTTCGATTCAGGGGCTCATAGGATATGAATATTTGAGATCTCACCTAAGCAATGGTGGCCAAGAAGCATGTTCTCACAGCACAGCCTCACCAGGGTCATAGATGAACTCAGGGTGAAAACAGTGTCCAGTCAAGGCCACCCAGGTGCTTGGGTGCTGAAAGCACGCTGTGAGGAAACCCAAAGTCTCAGCAGCATGAGAGAATTCGGGTACCCGTGTCGATAGAGGCTTGTGTGTGCTGGCTTCCACACCAGCTGAGACCACAGAGTCAGGAAAGTAGAAGACTGGGCAGACAAGTTCAACAGTTCACATGCAGTCCGTAACTTGGGGCAATTGTGCCTACTCAGCTGACCTCATGGTGTGGGGGAAGATCCAGAATACACAGGCTAACAGCAACTCTTTACAAGTAGGCCTGGGCCCAGCCCCCACCCCGGCCTTCAAGAAGTCTCCCTATCAGGGAACCCACTCAGCCATTGGTTCTCCGTCTCCTTTGTCCCTTCTCAGTAGTGAGAAGGCTGCCTGAGAGAGCAGCAAGGAGGCAGAGTGCAGGGCCCATAGGCCCTGAGTTCCCTCTCACAGTTGAGTATGCATAGGGCCAAGTTTCATCCCTTCTCCCAAACTCTCGATTGGACCCTGCCGCTAATTGGCCACACAAGGCCCCTCCATCCCCCTCCATCTGTGCTAACCACCCAGGCACACATGGGCAGTTTATTTATAGAGTGCTGTCTTTCCCAGGGTGGCCCAGGAAAGAAGTCTGAACTTCAAAGCCATAGACCTTGTTGTGGATACCAGTGGCACTAGGGTCTCAAAAATGCCTTCCCCTCTGATTCCTGGTTTCCTTGTCTGTGTCTACAACAAAGACTGAGGACTCTCTGGAGGACAGCAGCAAAGATCTGATAGCCTTAGGGGCTGACCACACAGCAGAGATGCAATGCTGACTGCTGGCTCTACCTATCAGCTTAGCATGGGCAAGACTCTGGGTTCAACCCATAGTACTGAAAAAGCAAAACTTAAAAAAGGAAAAAAAATTGTTGGACACACAGAGAGAGCTGAAGCTGGAGCAGCACTCTGAAAAGCTGTGACAGGACCTGCTGCCCTTGCTACCTAGGTGTCCAGGGATCAAGTGGCAAGCGGACAGGAGAGCTACACCCGCAATGCCAGGGGGTATGTGCCCTGCCATTCCTGGAGCCTCAGTCTCTCCCTGTGTATGGAGGGGCTGAGCTCCTGGCTCTGTAAGGTGGGTCCCTCTATGCTTCCTACCAATGGCAGACACAGGGACCTCCCTCTAGCAACTACCACACCAAACAGAAACCCAGCTTGGCCCCACTGTCATCCCCAGAGGCCCAAGTTCCCAGAATGGTTTGACTTGGGTGGGGCATACAGTAGAGCTGGGGGGGCTCCACAGAGGCTGGACCAGAAGGGAAGGTTAACCCTTAGTTAACCCTTCTCCCTCTCTCCTTCTCCTGGCTCTGAGCTATTTCTACCTCTATGCTGGGGATGGAAATAACTTGGGCTCAGCCCCTGGAGACCAAGACAGCTATTTTCATCAGCCCCAAAAGCACACAGCTCCAGTCATTCTAGGGAGTACTGAGGGACACCCTGACCCCCAGCCCTAGCTCTAGGCCAAGCACCAGCAATGATCAGAATTAGAAAAGGTGTCTGGGAAGATTGGGGAGACAGAGACCCAGACTGGGTAGGGTACAAGCACAAGGTCATGCCATTTGCTCCCTACCACAGTAAATGAAAGGGTCAAAGACAGGGGGTTGGAGACATTTTAAGTATGATGAAGGGTACTATCCTTGCTACCTCCAGGCTGTGCTGCTAACTCCAGATACTTCAGAGGCAGGTTACATGTTTCCAAGGCCAGCTGCAGGCTCTAAAAGGCAGGAGATAGGTCTTTCTGGTGATCTCTAGCTCAGAGGGGGGAAAGGAACAAGAAGACTAAAACACCCACTTGCAATTTGTTAGCCATGTGTGCACGCAAATCTCACTACAAATTCATAACACACCTGTGCCAGGCCTGCCAGCCCAAGTCTGGTAGGTGGGAGCTCAGATATGCCATGAGCAATTACCAGGAGAGTGGTGACCCTCCCCAAGCACCTCACAGAGTCAGAAGGCTTGAATTCCAGTCCTGTCAATGTCCTGACTATGTGACCTTGGACAAGCCACTGTGGTTCTCTGAGCCTCAGTTACTTTATAACAGTCACCACATCTTAGAACCACTGTTAGGATTCAATAAAACAGCACGTTATGAAGTGTTTAAAGTAGAGCCTGTCACTGCCCCCTCCAAGTGTCAAACCCATTTCCAGAGGGTCACAGAAAGCAGACCCGCCACATACTACTTATATTAGATGTGGTATCCATTGTTACTGCCACCTCTGGAGCTAGGGAGCCCAGATGCCACCCATTCTACATGCATCGCACTGACCGGCTTTGGGAGCAAGAGCCTCAGAATGGTCTTTTTCCAGAGATCAAGCAAGAACTCCAAGACCAGACCATTCATTGCTGGAGAACAAATATTTTCCCTCTCTCGCCAATCAGGGGTCTGAAGAAAAGAGACCTGAGTAGAGAAGTGTCTTTGGATTGAGGTGTCAGTATCTAAAGGACCAGGTGGTTTCTGAGTGGGAGCCTGACATCTTCTTGACCAGCTGTGGGCAAGACTGTTTCCAACTGTTCACCAGCACATGGGAGCCTTGAACCACTCCGTTTGTCACAAGCAGAGGCCTTCCCCCACCCCCACTGCAGTCTTGCTGTCTGGAGGGGAGAGGAGAATGGAGAAGACTGACCCAAAAACAATAGAAGATCCCAAAGTGATGATTCACAGGCTATTCACACCTCTCTGCAGACTGAGAGACTGAGGCTCAGCAGGGGTAGACTCTGATAACAAAACAGAATACACAGTGTGCCTGGCTAGATGTTGGGACTTCAGTGTGTGTGTGTGTGTGTGTGGTGTGTGTGGTGTGTGTGTGTGGAGACTGAGACCTCCTCAGGTCTTCTCTGTGCCCGAGTTGCTAGCCCACCCAGCTTTGGCATCCTCTAGGTCATGTCTGGGTGCAAACAACTCACTAAGCTGAACTCCTAAGGTTATCTTGGAGATCTTTACTCCCTAGACTCCTGATCTTCCTTGCCCCCTCAAATGCTGGAAGGTGTCAGGTTTCTCCTTGTCGCCGTACACTGGCCTAAGTAGGCAGACAGTCTCTTTCTCCCTGTGTGTCTCTGCCTCTCTCTCTCTCTCTCTCTCCTTGGTGGTCCCACATGCACCCTGTGACCCCGTGATTCAGGGCTTGCTTAAGTTATTTAGGGTTCCGCTCTTCCACCTTATACTCACAACTAGCCCGGGTCACACTACAGGCCACACACAGTGACCCCAGTGACCTGGGGTCTCTCACACACACAATCACACACACTCTGCCTGTCTCACACACACAGAGCCCCTCTGTGTCGCCCGCTAGGCTCGGCGTCTCCGCCCAGTGTCCCAGCCACACATTCGCCTGGGCCAGGCCGCCTCATGCGCCGTGTCACCCACAGTCACGGGCTGACACCGTTCAGAACACCCCCCCTTCCCGGCCGCCCCGCGCTGCAGCCGCACCGAGGCGCCGCCGTCCCGTCCCGCAGCCGGCCTTGGTGTCAGTCCAAGTTTCCCGGGCTCCACCGACCCCTAGCACGCCAAGTTCCGCTGCTTCCTCTCGCGCACCTCTGACAGACTGCGCCGCGCGCGGTGCTGGGAGGACGCGCAGCCGGGGGGCTCCGGGACGCGTAGACAGCACCAGGATGGGACAGGACGGGGCAGGAGAGCGGGGCTGACGCATCCGCCGCGCGGGAGAACTTCCTCGGAGCAGCGGAGCGGGGCCGCGGGCCGCGCGCGCCCTCCCTACCTGGCCGGCAGCACCAGCTTCGCTCCGCGTCCGACGCGGCGCCCGGGCCCCGCTAGGCGAGCGCTCCGGGCCGGCCGCGCAGCCTGCGCGCCTTTTGAATGAATCGCCGACCCAGCCGGGAAGCTGCGCGGCCCCGCCCCCCGTGTCACGGCTTCTGGCCCCGCCCCCGACGTCAGAGCTCCGACTTGCGGCCCCTAACCCCGCGCCCCTCAGCCGGCCAAGGGCTCACGAGTCTCCCGCCAGGCCACGCTGCTCCTCATCGCCACCTCTCGAGCCTCCTAGGAACTGCAGGGCTAGGATGCTCTTCCGATGCGTCCCTTGGGGCGCGGCGGGGAGGGGCTGGTGTGTGTGTGCTCCAAACCAAGAAATGGGGCTTGTGTGATGCAGCGAAAAGGTACTTGAGTCGTGAGTGCTGCTCAGATCCTGTCACCACTGCCTGCGTAACTAGGGCCACAGCTGCCACTTCCTGGGAATTCTCTTACTTTGGAATTGGTTGCGGATAAGAACAACCTCAGTTGCCGGGCAGTGGTGGCGCACGCCTTTAATCCCAGCACTTGGGAGGCAGAGGCAGGCTGATTTCTGAGTTTGAGAGTTCGAGGCTAGCCTGGTCTACAGAGTGAGTTCAGGGAAACCCTGTCTCGAAAAAACAAACAAACAAACAAAAAAGAACAACCTCAGTGTCTTGGATGAGACCCAGACTGGTTTCTAGAATCCCCCACCTAGTTAATAAGAGAGTTTATAAGGAATGCTCATCTGGTGAATTCCTTTGGAACCTGGCCCAAACCTACCTCCTCCTCCAAGGTAGCTGGTCTCTCCCCCAAGTAGGTAGGACAGGTGACACTCCTCTCCACTATCACCAAAGCCAGACATCACAGTGCCCAGCGGAGGACAGAAGTAAGAGGCCGGGAGGCCAGGACTTGGGAGGCTGAGGCAGGAAGCTCCTGAGTTCCAAGCCAGGGCTACATATGGAGACCTTATTTCACCAGCAAGCAAACACAAAAGTAACAACAAAGAATGCCCAACACTATGAGACATCGTTGTGGAAGCCAGGGCACTAACCATTGCACTCTTGTCTCTGTAAATTGTGCCCATGTGTGGTATGGTGTGTCGGTAATAGAAGGAGCAGCTCGGCTCCCACAGCCTCCTCTTCAGCCCTCCCCCCCCCCCAAACCCCATCATTCAAGGGATCTAAGGTGGCCAGGAGAGCAGAGCTGAGAAGAAACTCAGACAGCAAAGAGGAACCCAGAGTTGGAGACAGAGGCCTGGCTGTAGTCAGGATAATCACAGCTCATGAAAGAGGTTGAGGAAGGTAAATAAGTCTGTTGAGAATAGATGGGCTGGGTGGGATGATAAACAAATTAAGTCATAGAATTTGAGCCACAGAAAGGAAAGGAAAGGTCAGGTCCCCAGAGTCTGGGAAATTCCAGGAGGAGAACTGGACACCTGAAAGAAGAGAGGGAGGGAAGAGTTTCCATTTCCCTGGGCTGAGCCCAGGTTTTGGGGACAGGGCAGAAAAAGTTACTGGTATCAAAATCATGAGTCCAGCAGGCCTAGTGACATGTGCTTATGATCCCAGAGCTCTGGAGGCAGAGACAACCAGATCTCCGTGAGTTCTGTGCCCCCCTGGTCTACATAGCGAATTGCAAGCCAGCCAAGGATACAAAGTGATACCCTGTCCTGGGAAAAAGAAAGACCCCAATAAATTCAACATCAATTGTGCTCCCCCAAATCTGGGGATGGAGTCTACATCCCTACATCAGAGTCCATGGAGGAAACCCACTGGGAACAGTGGAGTTCTAAGAGTTGCCTGAATGTTCTTTACTTTTGGATGTTTTTTCTTTCTCTTTTGAGACACAGCCCCACTATTTAGCCATAGCTATGTATGTAGACCGAGTTGGCCTCAAACTCAGAGACCTGCTTGCCTCTGCCTCCTGCATGCTGTAGTTAAAGGTGTGCTCCACTATGCCCATTTTCAATTTTATTTTGTTTTAATTTTTATTATATTTTATGTGTATAGCATTTTGTGAGCGTGTCTATCTGGGCACCACTTGAAAGCCACGTGTGCAGGGAGGCCAGAGGAGGGCATCTGAAGTTACATGGTTGTTAACCTCATGTCAGAGTAGGACTTGAACCTGGGTCCTTTCGAAGAGCAGCCAGTGTTCTTAACCCCAGAGCCATCTCTCCAGCCTTCATTTTATTTTGTTTTGTTTATTTGTTTATTTATAAACCTAGGTTTTAGGGACTGAACTCAGGTCACAAGCAGTTTACCAGCCGAACCATCTCTCAGCCTTTTTTTGAAATGCTTTTATTGGTATAAGGACATTCTATTTCCCAATTTTCAAATTCCAAATAATGATATTTCTAGTCCCACTTAATAGTCCCGTAGGGATGTAGGCTTTGAACTGACAACAAACCTGACTTTCCCAAGGCGGTCCAGCCCCATCTCTACCAACACCTCTCTAGGAAGCTTTGAAAACGGGGGCACCCAACCTCTGAAGGTCACTCTCCGTCTCTATGGAAGCCACCTTCACAGTATAGATTCCCACAAGTACACGTGTCCCATTCCTGCACCTTTGGTTCAGAAGGAGCCTAATTATTATTTACTGTTGATCTAACTTGCTGCCTCTTTGTCTAGCTGACTATGACTCCCAAGTCTTTCCCAACAGGAACCCTCCCCAGGAGTCTGGAGACAGAGAAGGAAGAGTGACAGCCACACATTTGGGACTGGCTTTTGATGCTGCTTGGAGAGTCACCCAGCTCCAGAACAGACTCAAAATCATAGGTTCTTTAAGATCCTGGCATCTCAGGTGACCTCACTGAATCTTGGCACTCAGTCCTGAGTGCCTCAGAGACTATCTTGTGTAAAGCCTCTCACACTGCAACTCGAGAAGGCTGGTGCTCCTGCACTTTGTCTTAGGTACCACAGGACTTTAAGACCTCAGAAAGTTGGAATGAGTTTTCATAGTGACCCACAAGCAAGGGAAGGGGTAGGGACTCCAAGTCCATGCCAGGCCTGTTGAGGTAGAAGTCTTTGTGTCACACTTCCAGAGCTACCAGGACATGGTTGTTTTGAGAAATCTTTGAACAGGTGGCTGCAGGTGCCCCCTGCTGGCTATATAGGAAGCCAAACTACATTTCCAGTTCCAGAACTGCACTGGCAGCAAAAACTGCAGAATATCAAGTCCCTGTATAAAATGCATAGAGTATTTGTATGTTCACTGTCCAATTTCCCCCATACTTTAAATTCTCTCTAGATTACTTGTAATACACAGCACAGCACAAATGCTGTGTAAACAGTTGTTATATTATGTAGGGAATAATTATAGGGGCAAAGTTTGGACCAGCTTGAGACAGATGCGACTATTGTAAAGCCTAAAATTTCCATTTACTAGGTATGGTTACTCACGCCTTTAATCACAGCACTCAAGAAGCAGAGGTAGGAGAATCTCTGTGAGTTCAAACTCAGCCTGGTATATATAATAAGTTCCAGGATAGCCAAGACTACATAGAAAGACCCTGTCTCAAAAAAAAAAAAAACATTAATAATAAAATTTCCAGCCGGGCGGTGGTGGCGCACGCCTTTAATCCCAGCACTTGGGAGGCAGAGGCAGGCGGATTTCTGAGTTCAAGGCCAGCCTGGTCTACAGAGTGAGTTCCAGGACAGCCCGGACTATAAACAGAAACCCTGTCTCGAAAAACCAAAAAAAAAAAACAAAAACCTACTACTACTACTAATATTTTCATCCAAATAAATAATTGTATGCAAATAAATAATATTTGCATAGTTGGGTTACATTGGAAGATACAGAAGTCATGAATACCAAAGGCCACACTAAAGTTACAGGCTAATTTATTATTTATTTGTTATTTATTATTTACTTTTTAATTTATTTTTGTATTTTATGTATATGGGTGTTTTTTTTTCCCCCTTCATGTGCGTCTGCACAACAGAAGAGAAAAATAGGATCCCATGGAACTACAGACAGTTATAGAGAGTTGTGAGCCACCATTTGGATGCTGGAATTGAACTCAGGACCTCTGGAAGAGCAGTCAATACTCTTAACTACTGAACCATCCCTCTAGCCCCCAAGCTTAAGTTTCAATGCTTTGCTCTAGCAAAGCCCCAGTAGGCCCTGTCCTACCTTACCTGGCATGCTGTGAGTGTGCCCTAGATCAATGAGAGGGGCTCAGGCCATGGGAGAACTGGGGCTAAGACCAGGATCCAGTGTGAGCAGGTGCTAAGCTAGGGCTCTCTGTGTCTGAGGACTCACTTGGCTCAGCCTACATTTAAGTCTAGGCCACATCTGGAACCCACTGGGTAGGATTGTGTCCTTACACACTCCCTTACCTACCAACACTCTCGGAGGTCCAGCACTCTCAGTTCTGTCTTCTCTGGTCTTGGGCCCTATTGGCCCACCTGACTATGCTCCGGAAGTAAACGGTGAGGGCCTCTTTGTCCCCTTGGGGATGGGAGAGACTAAGAGGAGTCTGGAGCCATGAACTGACTGTAGGCCGTGGGGCTGGTGGGGTTAGGTCTACCTAGGTCAGACTTGCAGCCCAGTTACATGGACAGATCAAGGGTTGAGGTCCTGGCCATTCCTATGAGGGAGCCTGCTTTGCTAAAGTGTTTGAGGTTAAGTGGCCTAGAGGAGAGGAATAGGGGAAATCGAGGAATACATGCTTTGATGTCACATGGATAAAGGTCAAGTCCTAGCTGTATCAGTGACAGGCTGGACAGCCTTAAGCAAGTGACTTTATTTCCCTGAGTATAGTATCTGCAGAGACCCATGTTAGGAGCATCAGCTTCAAGAGAG